CGATGCTGGTCTCCGGGAGCTACCAGTGCCCCAGAAATGTGCCCTATTCGTGCTACTGGTATGGAATTGATGATATGCCATTTAAATATATAAATCAATAGAAGCGAATATGTGTAGCTCAGGGTTGAACTGTGGAGTCCTTGGGGTTCTCTGAGCTTGGTTGTTCTCTGAGCACTGAAGATGTTACCTAGCCAGGTAATGAAACATTTGCAAGAAAACAACCAAGCTCTGAGAACCCCAAGGACTCTACAACTATAGATGACTCCCGATTTCCTGTAGCTTCTCTTCTCATTCAAGCAACCATTCAAAGATAGGATGGTATTGCTTCTTCCAAGAAACTCTAACATGTGCCTGGCAGGTTCACTGAATAAACTCAAAGCTCTGGGGACTTCCTATTCCATATCAGACTCTGTGCCATGGAGTGAATGCCTCCCGGCCAGACTAGGCCAAATTATGAGGTGGTTCTTTATCAATCCCAAAATGCTTCTCCAAGCATTTGTGTTCATGTAGCATCTTTCACCTTGCCCTTCCAATCAGCACTTCAGTATGACTTCCTTCCACATCTCCCTTTGTTCCTCCCCAGGAGAACTCACACTATTACTCCTATTCACCTTCAATTCTCAGTTTCCTACAAAAAATACTGTTTTCTCCACAAATGGTTTAACTGTCAAATGGGACAGGTGTTTCAGATTTGCTGAAAATACAGTGAGAAGGCAGAAAAGTTTTTTCCCTCTGTTTTTCCTTTTTTGGGGGGGGGGATGGTCTTCTTAAATTCATGGTCAATTTGTTTGCAGGAATGGGCGTGGGGCAAACATAATATGTATTTGGGGAAACAGTTGCTGGAGGCAAGAAAGGAGCACATGCCACCAGCTCTTTAGCAACAGAAATATTCAGAGCCATCCAAGGCACAAATGTAGCAGATGGTTTTATTTAGAGTGCATTAATAATTCAGCTTGACAGCTGTATTTAATATTGTGTATTAGCCCCTAATTGGCTATAAAATCAACATAAAGCAATGGCTGATCACTCTTTATTTAATAATTTTGTATTTTCTTTCAGAGGAGTTCCGCAAATTGTGTATATATGGCAGTTTGCCAGCTGAGAGACCAGACACACCTAGCATACCTAGACTGCCACCTGACATATTTCCACCTCAAATATTTCCACCAATATTCCCACCAGATGGGATTCTGCCTTCTCGAAGGCCCCCAGGTAAAACTAAATTTAAAAACTTTATTTTCCCCTGGTTTAATCCTATCTTTCATCTGGTTTGTGTCTTTTGTTAACAGTGAAATCAGCTCTTGCCAATTTTTTTGGTCATTGATGACTTTTTTGTAAAGCAAGCAATGTTTCAGGTTACCCAGATAATAACAGACCCTAACAATTTTGTATATTTTGTTTCCTTCTGCCCAGAAGAAGGTCCCAAAAACATTCATTTTTGCTCTTAACTTTTAATTATGCCCTGTAGGACTTTGAGATTCTTTGATACATTCTCCCCTTCCTTTTCTAATCTTCTATCTCTTTTAGGCCCTGGAAGATGATGCTTGTTGAGAAACCAAGTGTAGCCTGTTAAAAATTGTGTTAGGATGAATGTGTTTCAGAAGCTATTTGTTTTGAAGGTTTTTTTTTTTTTTAACAGACTCCAAATCTAGCTTATTTTGTGCTAGATGATATCAGAGCAAATCAGCTTAGTTCCATAGTGGGTGTGTTGCAAACAAATCATTCACCGTGAAATGACAGTAAGAACTTGGTTTAATAGGAAAAAGAAGTGTCTGTTAGTCAGATTAAGAACTGCTATCTGCAGTAGCAACATACTTACCAACTTTGGACACAATCTCATTGTAATCACTATAATAACCAGGTAGATTTTAACTAAATTTATGTTTTAAAAATGTATCAAATGCATCTAATATTGAACTTTACATTTTTTAAATTTCAGGTATTGTGTCAGTTAATGTTACTCGGCCACAAGTCAACTTCTGCCAGTTATATCAAAATCTCTGCATTAACGGACGCTGTATTCCAACTCCTGGAAGTTATCGCTGTGAATGCAAGAAAGGGTTTGAATTGGACCTTAGAGGGGAATGCATAGGTATGTCCACCTACCCGATTTATGTCATACCAGGCACTTTTTCATTTTCCAGCTGAGTGTTTCAGGAGGCTGCATGCTACCTTTCTCAAATGAGCTGAATTTGGAAAATGCTTTGCTCAGAAACCTTTGGAGCCATATGGCTAATCTGTGAGGAATAGATTTTATTCTGACAAGAAAAAAGTCTTGGTTTAGAGATTCATTCTGATAAGTCTAAGTTCACCCAAGCAGAGAAATATGGCCCCATAACATTCCAATCTCATAAATGGAACTTTCCAACAGTCATGGTGCTTCATATCAAATTACTGGGATGATGAAAGATGAACATTCCTCACCAGAGTACGGGATAACACCGTTTGGGTTTTTCAAAAGCATGCTTTGCAGACGTGAAACAAGTTAGGAAAGGAAACTTCCACATTGGTTGCCAGGGTCTGCCAAAACTATCTTCTGTCTCTTGCAGATGTGGATGAATGCGAGAGGAATCCTTGTGTTGGTGGAGACTGTGTGAACACACAAGGTTCCTACATATGCCAGTGTCGCCCTGGATATCAGAGTACCCTGATGAGGACAGAATGCCGAGGTACAGGACAGCCTTGTAGAAATACCGAAACTGCTACACGCAGATCAATATTTGTTGTTTCCTAAAGTTTTAACACCATGTTCAATTTCCATTGAAATGCCAGTTTTTAGCTACATGGCTCTTGATGCACCGTTACAGCAGTAGACAAGCTGCAACGATATTGACCATATATAGCAATAATAAAGGATGCACAAAAAATATCTAGATCAACCAAAAGGGGGAAAAAGCTTCTACTGGCCTTTAAAATGAGACAAAGAGTTTGTTTCTCTTATTAAAACATTATGCGTAATAGTAGCTGCCTTAAAGAGAGCCAGTTTGGACTAGAGGTTAAGGCACCAGGCTAGAACCAGGAGACTGTGAGTTCTAATCCCTCCTTAGGCATGAAGCCAGCTGAGTGATCTTGGGCCAGCCACTCTCTCTCAGCCCTAGGAAGGAGGCAATGGCAAGCCACTTCTGAAAACGTTGCCAAGAAAACTGCAGGGTCTTCTCCAGGCAGTCGCAAGGAGTCAACACTGACTCAAAGGCACCAAATAAAACAAAACAAACAAAGAACAGCCACAACCCTGCCTTAAATAGTTTTGATTTGCACTGGGTTTTTTTTTTCAGTTTCAATAATCTAATCGATTAGAAACACTACACTAATCTCCCAGTGCTTAACTCTTGCATGTGATTCATAATCATTGGTGAGTGAACTCTGAAAAAATCAGAGAGCCAACAGAGACATACTTTCCCAATCTCCCTCATGGCAGAGATGGTCCACCAGAGTGACCAAACTCATCTCAATCATCCTGGATTGTAATGTAAAATAATGTCCAAGTAAATCCAGAACATCAGTTTTATCATGTAGAATCTGAGCTGCTAGGAACTTGTTCTGGCCTCTTGGTTGGCAAGGGAAGTCAGATGACATATGATTAATCATTTAGACCTCCTGGGATGTTATATCTTTGAATTAAAAACCTAGATACTGTTCTTTCCTCAACTATTCTATGCTAGAAAGAGAAGATCAAACTCGGCTTTTAATATAGAGAAACAAGGGCCACGTTTTCTGTAAGAATATGAGTAACATCAGCTTGCAAATGATCTTTATGCTCCAAGATGTAGTTAGTGGAATTGTGTGCTTAGTTGTTGTTTTTTTAAATTGTAGTAGGAACACACAGAGGAAGCGGGCAGATCTAGAAATCGCTGCAGGATTAAGGAGATCTACAAGAGAAACAAAGGATTAAAAGACAAAGCCTAGAGAATTCAAGTTTAAGCACAACAGGCTATAAAAGAAGAAAAGAGGCTCAGTGATGTCATGTCATTTTGCCAAAAAGCCTGAAAAGAAACCATCTCCTCCTGTCGTGCCCCAGTCATATTGCTAGCAATGTGAAAAGAAAGCAGTTATAGAAACTACTTTATAGTGGAGTATACAGAAAGATGGGCCAGAATACATAAAATCTCCACTTAATGGGGACAAGGGGAATGGGGAGAATGCAATCCCAACTCAGCAATAGCTTCTATTTCCATATGTCTGTTTTCTGCCTAGGCCAGTATTTCTCAACCTTGGCCACTTGATGTGTGGACTGCTGACTAGGGAATTCTGGGAGTTGGTCCACACATCATAAAGTCGCCAGGGTTGAGAAACACTGCCCTAAAGAGCTTCTTATAAAGAGTGTTTCTGAGTAAGAAACAGTCAGGAAACAAGAAATACTAGAACTCTTGATAGAGGTTGTAATAACAGAATCTTAAAAGCCTGACAGTGTTTCCCCTTCCCTCCCTTTTATACCATGGAGAATCAAGGCAGGGCGATCTCTAGTTTCTTTTTTGATTTCTTGGGCTAAACTCATGCTTTACTTAAAGATTTCCTTGCACCTTCTCCAAGGTCATCTCTGTGTCCCTTTTCAGTTTCTTCAGCCAAGCCAGGTTGTTGCATAGACTGCATTTTTGGTTTCATAATTTTTTATGTGTTGAAGAACTGAGGGAGCTGCAGAGAAGGCTTAACCTCAAGATGAGCCCAGGGCAGCTGTAGGCAAATCTCACATTATCTCAAAAAAAAGAAAAAAACAAAAAAAAATTCCCCCCCCCCCCAATAGCTTGGAGCCAAGCTATTACAGTGCTTTGAAGTATGTAATCTAAACCTTGGGTTTCACCTGGAACCAAATTGGCAGCTTTTAACACAGGTGTAATATGGCCCCATTGGGTTTTTCCAGAGCCCAGCGTGGCTGCTGAGTTTTATACTAATTGACATATCTGGGAAAAAAAGTCAAAGGCAGCTTTATGTAAAGTATGTTACACTAGCCTTATATTGTTAGTAGTATGAAACAGTAGGAAACTCTAGGATTTATTACCAAGGTGTAGAGACAACTCAGTACATGTCTTAATTTTCTTACTGATAGCTTTGTGGTCCTGGAATTATTCCTCACTATCGGTGGCCTTTTTTGGAGCCAACCTGTGCCAGTTAGTTGACAGTTACTGTGAACAATGTTTTTAATAGAATGGCGTTATGTCAGAGTGTCTTCTGTCGCATAGGCAGCATTTTTGGTTCACAATTTGACCCTGGAGAGGAAAGATCAGGGAGTGTTCCATTACTGAGTCCATCAATATAAGATAGTCAGTTGACCATATAGAATTGGTCCAAAAATACTGCATTTATAACTTGTCATTGAGTAAAGTTTTTAAAGCCCCCTGATATTATTTAATTTAACTTTGGGACCCAACTTTCCCCTATCAAACATTAAGAATGGATCTGAATTTTGAGGGATTTCGAAGGTACATTATTGTGAGGATAGTTGAAATTGTTGCTCAGTTAAGCTCCCTGTGGCAGAGTAGAGGGATATAACTGCAGTAGAATATTGCAGTACAGAGAGCATGATTCTGGGTGGAAGGAATAAGTACTTGGAGTATGTTGGCTTAATCTGTCATATTTGTATTCCATTTGTCGTCACAAGGACATCCAAGTTGGGTTGGTAGACCATTGTTGTTTAGTAGAATGACTTGGAAGTAGCCGTAATTGAAAGGATTCTGATATAGCTCTTGCAGGGTGGTATCATTCCTAAAGCCCAGTTTTTATCATCATGCAGCCAAAGTTAGGAACAGTGAAGCATTAAATTCTAGTGGCAAAAATTAAATGCACGTGTTTACATCTCTTCTATGTTAGTCAGCACAACTGAAGTGGTCGGCTTGGTCTTGGTTGAGTTTGTGATTTCAAAGGAGTGGAGTCAACCATAGCAAATTAAGTTGCTTATTTTGCTTTGTTTTGGGGTGATGACTCACCCGACTTGTATTTATGTCTCCATTTGTTTTCCTTCTAGATATTGATGAATGTTTGCAGAATGGCCGGATATGTAACAACGGGCGATGCATTAACACTGATGGCAGCTTCCACTGTGTTTGCAATGCTGGCTTTCACGTGACAGCAGATGGAAAGAACTGCGAAGGTCAGGATTGCCAAATCCCTTCTGAGTACTTCCTTCTTCACCTGTGTAACTTCCTGCATTGGAGTGTGTGTGTGTTCTTGTTCTCTACTTAACTGTTGTCTAGTCGATCCCTACTGTAATGTTTCTCAACCTTGGGAACTTTAAGGTGTGTGGACTTCAACTCCCAGAATTCCCCAGCCAGCCATGGTATAAAGTGAATGAATGAATGAATGAATGAATAAATAGGGTGGACTTCTGCACCATAAAAATCCAGGATTTCTAAGTCACAAAAGCTCTGCCTATCCAAAATCGTACAAGCCACATTATTTAGAATGATTCGTTGTTCTGTGTGTGAACACAGTTACTTTACCAAGTCAAAGCTGTCCAAACCACATTATGACTTATCCACTATGGCAGTGTTTCTCAACCTTGGGAACTTTAAGGCGTGTGGACTTCAACTCCCAGAATTCCCCAGCCAGCCATGGTATAAAGTGAATGAATGAATGAATGAATGAATAAATAGGGTGGTCTTCTACAACAAAAAAACCCAGGATTTCTAATCAAAAAAAGCCCTCCCTACCCAAAATCGTACAAGCCACATTATTTAGAATGATTCGTTGTTCTGTGTGTGAACACAG